AAAAAAAAAAACAAAAAAACAAAACCAAAAACCCAGTGAAAAATCTTCCAGTGATAGGCTTTTCAGGCCAAGCAAGGACATTTGTTGTTAGTTGGAATGATATAAACTAAGTGGTTACTGAATGTTAGCCAATGGTCTTAACTAACAGTGACAGAGGTCTAATTAATAAACACTGGAAAAATAAATTCTGCGTGAAAAATTAGTTTGGCATGAAAAATTTCTAAACATGGAGTCTACAGGGGGAACAATGAAAGGGCCGCTTGCTGGGATCACGGCTGCAGTGATCTGGACAAAGTGTGACTGCATCAAAATCACGCAGGTTCGCGCTCTCTTTTTTTTAAACATAATCGTTCCTCCCTCACCTTCAACTCTTCTGTGTGGCAGGTATCTTGTTTTCACCTTCCAGTTCCTCCACTCCGGCCTGGGTCATGAGGTCGGCGATGTTTCTCTCCAGATCATCGATGCGACTACTCATGTCGTCAAGTGGTGAAGTTAAAGACCACGCACACCAGCATCTCCCGATTTCTCATCCTTTTCCTTCAGGCCCCTGTAGACTCCGGCCTCAAACACAGCTGTCATGAGGAAATGGGTCTTCCAGTTTCCTCTGGATATTGTCATTGTCTGGCGGGTAAGAGTACAGAAGTCTGGGGCAAGGCTGCCTGGGATAAATTCCAGCCCTGACCCCTACTAGGGATGGGAGCCCGGTAAGGTCTTACACTTTTCTAAACCTCAGCTTCTTCTTTTGCTGTAGGAAGATGATAACACTGTAACATACTCATGAAGTCATGGTGAGCCTCACCAGGAGACAGACACGAAGTGCTTAGTTCACAGCCAACAGTGAACCACACTAGACATCACCGGTGGTGGGCTGTAAGTTAGGGATCTGTCTAGCTTAGCTGTATCCCTAACCCTTAATCCAGTAGTTTTCAGGAACAGGGCACGTCCAAGCTCAGAAGTGCCTGGCTGAAGCTGGCCTGCAAACCACCCATTTATCCCCACCACTACCTGGCAAAGAGGGTCCAAAGGCCCATAAAAAGCCAATTTCAAATAAAAAGGATATTTCTTCCAATGATCTGGTCAGACATGGTCTGAAATTTATCTTGCATCTGCTGCAGGAGTGTCTGCACCTAAGAAAAACCAAAACAAATAAACAAAATCCACACTTATCTTGAGACACCTTCCTGGGATCAGGCCGGGAGGAGCCCTGATCCCGGCGAGAGGAGACTAGGATCCTGGGTTCCAGCCCCAGCTCAGCCTCTTAGCAGCTGCGCAGTCCTCAGCAAGGAATTTCCTCCTCGGGGTTTCAGTTTTCCCGTCTACTAAATTAGACTGATGGGCCGGGGAGGCCCCTTCCGTTTTGGGGTCGCTGCGATTCGAAGCTCGGGGTCTGTAGGTTGTCTCTGCCGGCTTGGGGGCACCTGGGTCTGAGTGAGGAGCTGAAGGATGGGGTGGCTGGAGGGCTGAGGGTGTGGGCATGGGAAGCTGGCGGGGCCCGGGAGTCACCAGGGGGCGTTTACGGGCAGGTGAGTGGGGCTAGGAGAAGGGGTCTGGCTTGGGGGAGTCAGCGGGGAGAGGGGCCGGCACTGAGCGGCCATGGGGTTCAGGCGGCCGGGAGCCTCGGGGGACGAAGCCTCCAGACACGGGCCCTCCAGAGACGCCGCGGCCTCGGGCCCGCGCAGCCGTCCCTTACCACCGAGGTGAGATCCTGCATGGTCTTGGGGTCAGTCTCGGCCATCTCCCCGGTTCCCAGCTTGGCGGTGATGCCTCGGACCGTCACCTACACTTCCGTTTGTCCGCGCAGACGTCCTCGCTACCTCTTCTCGCGACGAGACAGGCCACTCGCGGGACCGCGAGGCATTGTGGGGGCTGTAGTCACGTCACGCACCGGAAGAACCTCGAGGTCTCGTGCTTCCGTTCCGGGGCGCGACCACGCCCCGCTCTTCCGGCCCGCTTCCCATCGCCCCGCCCCTTCTGCCCCGCCCCGCCCCGCCCCGCCCGGCCCGCACCTGCGGGGGAGAGACACAAACCGGAAGTGGGGCAACGGAGTCCGGGAGTGGCCTTGGCCTCGTGCAGAGGCTGCGGTGGGTTGGAGGCGGCTCTGGTTTTCTTTGGCCCGTCGGGACGAACGTATTGGGCTTCTGCTCCCCAAGCACACCCAGCATACCCTTGCAACCACCCCCAGGTCGACAAACACGACCAGCGCTCCTCCCCAGGTCACCCCCACATGCACCGGGTGACCAGTGTCCTGACTTGTTGCCTGTCAGTTTCGTACACGGGGACTGAGGACGCTGTCTTCAGTGGTGCTTCGACTCAACGTGACGCTGCTCGGTGTGGCGCGGGGCGGGTTTCCAGCTTGGCAAAGGAGGGAGCAGAGTCGGGTTAGGCTGAGCAGAGAGGGTTAGGCTGGATTTGGGTGTTTAAGGAGGTGGGCACTGCTGAGTTGGGACCTCAAGTTCCAGTCGCACAGGTGGTCTGGGCTTGGGTCTCATGGCGAGAGGATAGGAGAGTCCCTGACTCAAGGCCCGGCATGTTCCAGCACGTTTCACGTGCTTATCTCACTTAAGGACCGTGCTGTGGAGGTCAGCTCCAGTTTGAGTTTAGCTGGGGGGAGGCTGTAGGGAAACCCACCAGCGACTGTACCAAACCGGGCATGAGGTTGGCCTGGGAGGCATGAGACTCAACTCCCTTCACCCCTGACCCCTCCGCACTGAGAGATCTTCCTTCTTGTGTCGAGGCTGCAAAACTTTTAATAATTGTTGTTAGCTGGTATTTGGTTAGTGCTTTACCAGACTACTTGAAGTAAACGTATCTCAGTGTTTTCACTTAATCCTCAGAGGACCCCTGGACATAATTGTCGCCAGTTTACATTTTGAGGAAACAGACACAGAGGGGCGGAGAAACTGGAACAAGGTCATCAAATAAAGGAAGTAAGAGATGCAGACTTCCTGACTCTATATCTTTTCCTATCATTCTGGAACTCCCTGAGTTTTCTGAGCTTTGAGCAGGGTTTGTCAACAGCAGCACTCCTGGCATTTGAGTAAAGTAATTGTTGTTGGGGGATTTGGGGGGGGGTTGCCTGTTTATTGTGGGATGTTGAGCAGCATCTGTGACCTTCACCCACGAGATGCCAGAAGCATCCCCCTCCCTGTCTTTACCCCAGTAATGACGACCCAAAATATCTGCCAGAGATTGCCAAATGTCTCCTGGGGGTCACGGTGCAGAATCACTCCCTGCTGAGAACCACTTAGAGGAATCTGTGAGCATTGCATAGAGTTCTGTGCACTTGTTCTTCAAGCATGAATTTATTTTTGCTATGGCGGTTTCTTGAGACTGTTCCCACGTGTATGTCGAGATTGAAGGTTGGAGCATTAGTTTCCTAGAGTGGCTGTAACAAAGTATCACAAACCGAGTGACTTAACACAACAGAAATGTATTCTCTCCCAATTCTAGAGGCCAAAAATCCGAATCACGGTGTTGGCAGGGTTGGTTCCTTCTGTGGAAGTACCTGTCTCCCTAGCCTTTGGTGACGATCACAGGCCTTGGCATTCCGTAGCTTGTAGAGGCATGAGTCCGATCCCTGCTTCTGTCTTCATACGACCTTCTCTCTCTCTCTCTCCCCCCTCCCTCCTTCTCTTCTTATAAGGACACTGGCGTCCACCCTAATTCAGTGTGACCTCATCTTAACTAATTACATCTGCAACAACCCAATTTCCAAGTAAGGTCACATTCTGAGACACTGAGGGTTAAGACTTCAACGTGTCTTTTTTGGGGGGAACACAGTTCAACCCATCACAGTTGGTAACGTGATTCCATCTTAAACTTGGATCACAATTGTTATTTTATAAAGAGTTTTCAAAAAGCTCCAGAGTCATTTAAAAACTAGTGAGTAGCCAAGACAAAGTTGAACCTCAGGCTTCTGACTTGGGACCCTAATCACTGGGGCTCCCACATTCAGGAAGTTGGGTCCCCACACCCTAGACAGATCATAAGTCAGGTCTGTCTTAGGGTCATGAACAACACAAGAAC